GGGGAACAAGAAAAAGAGACCTAACAAAAATCTGGACAGGTGCTTGCCTACCTGTAGCTGAACCGATTATCTAGACAGGCTTTATAACTGGTTTACACTATCAAAGTTTCTGTGATCACAGTAGGAATTTTTGCATGGTTTGCACTATTTTCCATCCAGCAAACTGACCTGACGTTATTTTCGGAAGATGGAGAGGTGTTAAATGGCTATTAACTAACCCAAACCCTACCCCTACTCTAACCCTAATCTCAACCCTATAAACCCTAACCGAATTAAGTATAGGTTATTTTGAGGCAACGAGGGGATATGTGATTTATTCACCGAGGCGCGCAGCGCCGAGGTGAATAAACACATATCCCCGAGGTGCCTCAAAATAACGTACTTATTTTTCACACTGCGAGGTCGCGTTAATGAGTCAGAAAATAAATAATTTTAATGCCATTTTGCCTTCGCGATGTTGTTTTTTCCTCATTTTTTGTGCTGCAAAGACATTGCAGGTGAATATTAGCGGGGATTATTAATTGCAGGTGAATATTAGAGGGGATTATTAAACGGAAATTGATTAGAGGAGAATATTGAATATATTCCCCGACAAGAACAAAGGAAACCGAGCAGGGTGAAAAATAATAACAAATATCCAAAAAGGAAGACTTTAGAAAATCGATAGGGCGGTTTGCTGGATGGAAAATAGTGCTAACCGTTTTTTGCATAGGTAAATTCTAAGTTTTGAAGGATTTGTAAGACATTTTTGAGGGAAATGACTTATTGTTTAACACTGAATCGTTCCCTAAGACATTTTCTTGCAAATCCTTCAAAACTTACAATTTACCGTCGGTAAACTGCTGACGTCTGCGTTTTCGCGATTAATTATCCATAATCATCCTACATGAAGTTTCACTCGAGCGTCTATGCAACAATTCCCTGCCCACAATGCGTCTCGGTCGTGCATGGCGAAGTCGCTGACAAGATGAAAGGAGTTTACAGTATAAAAGTTTGGTGATTATTGTCATGTTTATAACCCTTTTACGTCTCAATTTATTTGTTTTGTCGCTCCCCTAGAGGGGAAACGTGCCGAAATTGGCCGCATCACGAGTAAACACGCGAAAGTTTCCCAAGAAATCGCGGAGGAAACTTTCGACAACACCAGCATTTCGAGACCACAAATTCCCGAAGTGGACAAAACTAATCCGGTAATGAATGGGCCTGTTTCAGACGATCAAGACGACGTAGATTCAAAGGAAGGTGAGCTTTGGTTTGATCATTATACCAGTGTGAACGTTTTAACCATGCAATGTCTGCAGACATTGTTTACAATAGAGTTGTTCTAGCAATATCATTGTGATTTGTATTGAACAATTTTATGGTTCCGTTGCATCGGTCCTACTAATTACTGCCCGAGACTGCCCGGGAGTGCCCGAGACTGCCCGGGGACTGCCCGGGTAAACATAACGTTATTTATTATATGGTAAGGCAGTGTGCTCTTGTTTTAAATCACTAAGTACATGTATA